CCTGGCCATCCGGTACGGCCTGTGCGACGCGGCGCTGGTCATCGGCGTCAACATCTCATTCAATCCGGGCATTCAGTATAACTTCTTCAAACTCAATATGATATCACCGGACAGTAAGTGCATGTGTCTGGACGAGAGGGCCAACGGGTACGCCAAAGGGGAGGGCTGTGTCACAGTTCTGGTGCAGCGCCGGGATGTCGCCAAACGTATGTACGCCGCGATCGTTAACATTAAGTCCAATAACGACGGCTATAAGAAGGACGGCATAACGTTTCCGAGTTGGGAGCGCCAGTACACTGTCATCAGCGGCACGTACGCCGAGTGCGGTGTGGACCCGGCTCAGGTAGACTACGTGGAGGCCCATTGCACCGGCACTAAAGCTGGAGATCCCGTTGAGATGCGAGCTATCTATGAGGCTATGGGTAAAGGTATGTGTCGATTGAAAACTAAAATTAATTACACTTACTTTTGAGCACCTGTACCTCAACACTAAAAACCAGTCTAACATTGAATGTCATGTTTCAGGCAAAAGAGATAAGCCATTGATGATCGGCGCTCTCAAGTCAAACATAGGGCACACGGAGGGAGCGTCTGGTCTGTGCGCCGTCACGAAAGTGATCCTCACGTTTGAGAACGAGTTGATCGCAGCGAACCTACACTTCAAAACACCCAACCCTAACATCCCGTCCCTCATCGACGGCTACATTCAGCCAATCAACGAGAACACGGTATTCAACGGCGATTTGATTGGTCTCAACAACTTTGGGTTCGGTGGCTCTAACACCCACCTAATACTGAGATCACCCAAAATCATGGCACCGGTAGATAATGGCGCGATAGTGGACAGGTATCCGCGTTTAGTACAGATGTGCGGCCGAAACCAGGAGTCGATTCACTACTTCTTTGATAAGTTGTTTGAGAGGCCGTCGAAAATAAGTCGAGATTTACTTCATTTGATTAACGAATTGTCCAAAAGTACACCCTTTGAGACCCACACCGGGTACCGACCCATGAGATACCGGGGCTTTACGCTAATTAGTGACAAGTCTGGTGGGGGATCGGCACTGAAATACTCGGAAATTGTGACACAAAAAGTGGCTAAACATGAGAAACAGATGTGTTTGGCGTATACGGGAATCGGTTCTCAATGGCCAGGAATGGCTCAACAGTTGATGTCTTTCGATGTGATCGCGGAGTCGATACACAACTCAGCGCTCATTATGAGAGACAATGGCATCGATTTGTTGCGGTTATTGACACAAAACAACTCCGATATGAATAAGTCTGCACTCAATTCAATGGTATCGTTGGTCGCCATTCAGATGGCGTTAACCG